ACCCTCGAATGCGAGTTCGTGCACTTGGAGTTTCGCTCGGCGAGAATATTGTCGCTCAGCGAAATAGGTTTTAGATAGCGGTTTTCACGAGAACCGCTCTTAAAAGTGAACTTCTAATAGCGAGTTAACCATTAACAGCTATCTTAATTATACTTTAGATAGCGGTTAAGGTGGAACCGCTATCATATCATCTCAATTATGTTTTGCAACATGCCTCTACAAATGTTTTTAACAATTAAAAACAAAGTATTTTGACAAAAGCTTTCTCAAATGCCTCTACAAAGTATTTTTAACAATTATATTGAGTTTAATTCTACAAATTAAAAGATTAAATAATAAATTTAATTCTTTAAATTCGAGTAGCTAGAAACTAAAATTATAGTTTCTCTGTTTTAAATATTTAAAATAAATATTTAAAAATAAAAATTAAAACTAGTATTATCTTAAATTTATTAAAAGTGTAATTAAATATCTATTTTCTTATTTTTATTTGTTTCAAACTTCTCAATTCTACATTTTTGTAAGTTCTATCATTATATTATCATTCTCATCTCCTCTCATGTTTCTACTTTATCTTTACAATAGTCAATATTCTTAACTAATTTATAGTTTTAATTATATTTTTTTAGTATATATTTTAGAAATTAATCAATTCTAATCTATTATTTGAAAAACTAATAAATTCTAATCAATAATTTAGAAAACTAATCGATTATAATTAAATATTTGAAAAAATTATCAAATATGATCGATCATTTCGAAAATATAATCGGTCAGAATCAACTATCGCTCGAGCGAGATAGGCTCGCTCAAGCGAAATACGACCGAGAGTACTAATTTTGTGCGAGGGCGTTTCGCTCGAGCGAGAATATTGTCGCTCAAGCGAGATTAGGTTTAGATAGCGGTTACACAGGAACCGCTCTTAAAATATGACTTAGATAGCGGTTAACCCTTGAACAGCTATTATATGGTTTCAATTATGATCGGTCGAGAATGCATTTATGGCCGATCATAACTATTTTAATCGATTAATTCTCGTTTCAATCGATTAAAGCAGTTCTACACTAGCGTTTTAATCGATTAAAACTTATTTTTATCAGTTAAAATAACTTGAAAAGTTTTAGGAGAAAGTTTTGCGAGTATTTCAATCGATTGAATCGCGAACAATCGATTAAATCAACTTAGAAGATTTTTGTAAAGTGTTTTAATTGATATAAACGTTGTCAGTATCAGTTAAAACAAATCTGTTAAAGAATCAAGAACGTATTAATGGATTAAAAGAAGTTTTAACAGATTAAAGCTGCACTTTTAACATATTAAAAGAATCTTTTAACAGATTAATTAAACCAGCGAGTTTTGAAAATCTTCTATAAAAACAGTTTGGCTTGAACTTTTTTAACATACATTGAATATATCATCTTTAAAAAATAAATAAATTTATATATATATATATATATATATTTTTGCATTTTAATTTTCAAATATTAATTTTTTTATGAAATTAATTTTAATTAAAAAAATTAATTTTCAAATATTAATTTTTTTATGAAATTAATTTTAATTAAAAAAATTAAAGTGATATATATATATATATATATATATATATATATATATATCCAACTATTAAATTATTCAAGATATTAATATAAATTTAAAATATCAATTCAAGTAATTAAAATAATTTTAATTTTTTATAAATACATTGAAATACATTTTTATTAACATACAAGTAATATATGTATATATATATATATATATATATATATATAAAGAGACTAAATTAATAATTAATTTAATTATTGATTTAGTGACCGATTCGATGACGAATCAGTGACCGAATCGATGATCGAATCGAGTGATCGAATCAGTGACCGAATCGATGACCGAATCGATAGCCAGAATCGATGTGACCGATCTGGTGACCGAATCGATGACCGAATTAGTGACCGATTCGGTGACCGAATCGATGACCGATTCGGTGACTAATTTAATAATCAATTTTAATTTTTTATTCACATGCTAAATTAAAAAATAAAATCAAATAATTATATTACTAAATTATTTAATAAGTTAGTAAACAATTTTTTTTAAATATTTATAATTTTATTAAAAATATTATCAATTATTTTAAATCATTAAGTAAATTTATATTTAAAATATTTTAAATAAAATATTTATATAAATGAAAAATAGTTATCAGTTTAAAAATTATTTTTTTAGTGACTGAAATTTTAGTCACTAAATCGAGTTACTAAATATAAAAAAAATCAGTCACTAATTTCGATCACTATTAACCATTTTTGTAGTAAATAATTACATAAATTAAATATAGATTAATTAAAAAAATAAATCAAATAATAAAGTGACTGAAATAGTAACCGATTTTTGTGACCGAAAATTCGGTTACTATTTCGATTACTAGACTAAAAAATAATAATTTGGTTACTTGTTTCGGTCATCGATAGTAACTAAATTTTTCGGTCATCGATTTCGGTTACTATTTGACATTTTTCTAGTAGTGAATGCAGGAGAATTTTTGCTCAAACGAAAATTTTCACATGAGCAATAAAAAGTTGCTAAAACAATTTTTACTCATGAGAGACATGCCTTGCTACAGCAAAAAAAAAAATAAAAAAAATAAAAAAAAACTACAACAAAGGTGACTCTTGGGCCACTTGAGCGAGAATCCATTACATAGAAAACATGTATATAGCAGTGGGAGAGGAAAAAAACAAAGAGATTAAAGGTCAGATTTAGAGCACAAGAAAAAGAGGAAGAAGATCATGGATTAAATAAAGAAGATTCAAGATCTACTCCTTAACTTTTGTATTTGTTCTAATCACAAGCCGTTAAGGACACAATGAGAATATATATCTATTATATATTAATTTGACAATGAATTCAGTTATTTTAAGAGTAAATTTCATAATAAATATCTAATAATAATTTATTTCAAGATCTAATGATTAAGATAAATTATTATTATAAATTATTAAAAGAATAAATAATAATAAGAAAAAGTAAAATTTTAATTCTTATTTTGAGATTGAAAAAAAATATTTTCTTATAATTTATATATTAAATCATTATATCTTAAATAAAAATTAATTTTATTAATAAAATTTAAATTTTCAAATTTTTTTATTTAAATATTTTTTAATTAACTAATTATATATATATATATATATATATATATATATATATATATATATATATATATATATATATATATATATATATATATATATATATATATATATATATATATATATATATATATATATATATACACACGATCATACTATACTAAAAATTTTTGGTCCATTTTAAAATATAAGCTAGACTGGACTATCAAGATTTTTACTTGACCGTAGGACCACGTTAAACTGAGTTAAGTGGCTTGTTTTGACAATTCTAATTTTAATATTAAAATGTGAAAAAATTTAGTTTAAATTTTTAAAAGTATCTAAAAATAAAATTATAAACTCATTTTTTAAAAGAAAAAAAAAGATATATGAAATAAACTTTATTTTCTAAAATTTAAATTCAATTAATAACATTAAATATATAATATATTTATTTTTATATGATAATTAATACTCTTATATGTTGACTCTGTTAGTGTAAAATTTATATGCTCATATGATTGAGCTTTGAAATTGAATGTAAACTATAAAGCACTCTATACTACTCTTAATTTTAATAATTTGATTTTGTTTTTAACGTTAAATGACCTAATCACTCATCTTTTACATATTTGATTTAGATTTGGGTTGAAAAATAATTTCTAATTTTTATTTAAATCAAAACATCTAATAACTTTGAAGGTTAGAACTTGATGTAAAGATGTTTTTGTTTTGTTATAATTAAAGAATCAGTTGTTGCAATAGAATTTTTAGAAATTTTGAATGAAGGAATTGATTTAGAAGGAAAAGTAGACATTCCATAACATATAATCATAAAAATACAGAAGACATAATGTGATAGGTAAAATTCAATCTCAAGTTGTTATTACTTGTTTTTAATTGAACTTCTCTTTTGCATAAACACATGCTGTCGCACGATTCTCTTAAAAATATTTTAAGAGTTAACTTAAAAGAAATAATAAAGATAGCTAAATATTACACAAATCCTTGTAAATTAAATTAGATATTTGTTAAAATATCACATTGTTAAAACCCTAACTATATATATATATATATATATATATATATATATATTAAAATTAAAATATAATAGAGAAATAGATTAAAAAGTTATAATAATATAAAAGTAATAAATTATAAATTAAAAACACACAAAGACACAAAATAGTTAACTAGTTAAATCTATATTAATGATTTAGAAGGTTAAATAAATTTTATAGTAAAATTACATATCTTTATAATAAATAGTATCTAGATGAATGCTTCTACTTTAAAGATTATGTGACATATAAATATATATTTTTGAATTAATATGTTGTGTATTCTTGACCGAAAAGATATACATCACTTATATATAAACACATGTCGTAATTACTTGTTGGTGTTACTTGATCAATCGTGTTGGTTAACAAAAGTTGATTCTCACTCAAACAATTGACTCAAGAAAATAATTTTGTTCCTTGATTGAGTCTCTGGTCGGTTCTAGAAAGATTTCCATTGATTGTGAATATGAGGTTTCTGTGTTATGTTACTTCTATGAAATTGTGGTAAAACGGTGTAAAATGAGCAAAACAAATGAGAACAAAAATTTGGGATAAAAAGTTAATTGTTGTATTGATTCAAGTATTTTTCTTCGAAGGAAGATTGGTTCTAGACCTCACTTGTATAATTTATCAGAGACAATTACAAACCATACAGCAGTTTCTACATGAGGGCAAAACAACTTATGAACTTGGGACCTAATAGATAAACAAGAGAAATTACATGTATAAACTAATGAATATTGAGTAGTTAAAATAAATATAAACACAAAAATAATATAAGCAAGTTTAAATCCCACCCTTTCTTCACATATTATGTTTCGATCCGAAATTGATGTGCATTAATGGAACAGTAAAGGTCATTTTGTCCCTCAAGAAGACGAACAACCTAAAATTACAAGTTATTAATTGGAATTCAGAATTGGACAGAGACAAACTATATCTCAAAACAATAATGTCAAACAGTGTTAACTATATCATATTATATATATATATATATATATATATATATATATATTGGTTGTATGACTATAGTGAATTACCTCTGCAATGGAGGGTCGCTTCTCATGATTTCTTTGCACACAGTAGTATGCTACCTTGGCCATCATGTATAGGTCGTTTGAGTTATATGAATGCGCAATACGAGAATCTATAAGTTCGTGAAATGCCAACTTCTCAATCTTGGCCTCAGCCTAAAATTTTCGTTAATAACAGTATAGAATATTAGTCAAATTGAAATAGTTAGATCCTTCATAAGGTAAGAACATGGAAAAAAATTTACAAATATTTAAAGAAAAAAAAAGTACCCATTGTCGAAGGGAGAGATTTTGCTCTGGGCTAGAAGTTGCCTTGCGTCCTGTTATCAGTTGTAAAAGAATAATGCCATAAGCATACACATCTGCTGCAACAGAAACAATACCGTCTTCAGCATACTCAGGGGCAAGGTATCTACATTATGAAGAAGAGATTGATTATTTTTGGTTTTACATTCTTGAAAAAGAAAAAGGCTTGAACAAAATCCTCACCCTAATGTGCCCATTATCCTTGTTTGTAGAATCTTATCACTAGTCTTCCATTTGGCAAGGCCAAAGTCACCCAGCTGCATTTGCATGCATGCATTATTCAATTAAATCACAATACCCTTTATTAGGAACAAACAAGGAAATGGAAATTTTATGTTTTGAAAGCAACTTGTTAGGATAGAAAGTAGTATCAATTTAGAAACCCTTCTCGTTAAAATTAAGAGACAAGAGTGAGTATGATGATATATAAGTTAATAAAGTTGAGGTTGGGGTATTACAATATATTGCCAAAGCAGAGGATGGAGATTTTACCATGGGAACAAAATCATGAGTGAGGAGTATGTTGCTTGGTCTTACGTCACGATGAATGATAGGACCTCCACGACATTCTTCATGCAGAAAACGCAATCCTTTCGCAGTTCCAATAGCGATGGCATATCTTTGGTGCCACTCAAGAACTGGGGCATTTTCATCTGCAAAAATATTTACATTCATAAAATCACCTAATCATGGTGGAAAGACAATATTTAAGACCAGAAATTAAGTAAAGAAGAAAAACAGAAAAGGGTCGTGCTTACCAAATAAATGCCAATCAAGAGACATGTTGCAGATATACTCATATACCAAAATATCTAGCCTTTCTTTGAAACAGTAACCCAATAGCATAACTATATTCTTGTGGCGAGCAAAATTCAGCACGTAAACCTCAGAATTGAACTCAGAAGACCCTTGTTTACTTTGCTCTTTCCTTACTTTAGCAGCTATTTGTTGCCCATCTTTAAGTATGCCCTTGTATACATGTCCATATCCACCTTCACCTAATACGTTATCCTTTGAAAAATCATTTGTTGCAAGTTGAATCTCAGAGTAGCTGAACCTCTTTAACTCGTTGGTATACAATGCAGTGTGAGTCCCACAACCAGCACAAAGAATTGGAGGATCTGAAGAATTTGGGAAATTTTAGAACTAATAAAAGGATGCTTATGCCTGAACGATATTAACTTACAGCTTTTATTTACTGCAAAGAACTTATTAGGGCACAAAATGAGGTTAATAATGTATCCCTACTCGTAAACTAATACTATTACGAGGGAACCCTAAACTAATGATATTGTGAGGAGTTTGAATGCTAGAGGCATAACTAAGATTTAAGACATATTGAATATGCTTGCAATATGAAAAGAGCAATTTTATTTGTTAAAATGTGGGGTGTGTCAATAGAAAAGTGAAGTTGAACTACTTATTATTGTACAAGTTTAGGAGATTCGAATATTCTATATTATATATATATATATATATATATATATATATATATATATATATATATATATATATATATATATATATATATATATATATATATATATATATATATATATAGACATGATATATAGGCTCAAGTAATCCCAATCTAGTTTTCTCTATTTTCTTAGCTTGTATTATCTATCGTTATACAATTTTTACAGATAAAACAGATAGAAAGAGAAGTAAAATGTAGGTGATGAAATAGAAATAAAAAGTATAGTGTATAACTAAACTATTGTAAATTATTGTGTATGAATTATAGTATTATTCATATGAATGTGTAGGGAAATTGAAATTGGTTTCTGACCTGAAAATGATCCAAAATATGGTGAAATATTATGCTCCGCAGCCTTGTTAGCATTTGAATGTTTTGTATTGATCTTAGAACTGTCAGAAGTAATGGAAAGAGGATAGGTTTTGCATACGGTAACAGATTGGTCCTCATGATCAACACTATGAAAATCTGATAGTGAAACACACTTGGAAAAAGAGTAAATAAGCTTTTGTTCTGCCACATATGTTTCATCTATATGATGTGATCTCCAAATATCCACCGAAAAGTCATCTTTAACCAAAGCAATTTTACACGTTATCTTGTTCCTGTAGAATCTCAGGTCACGCTGCAGATGTCTGATAAAAATTTCCATTGCAGTTACAAACATTAGGAAAAATATAAGAAAAGTTAAAAGAGTTAAATTGTTGAACCGGATTCATTTGAACCGTTGCCATATTTTTTAATAAAAAGAAATTACTGGTAATATCCATGTTAAGTAATTCATATAACACACATTCAAATGTAAGATATTGGTATGTTGTTGGAAAAAGGTTATACCTATCAAGAATTACCCAAGCTGCATTATATTTTGTAACTTCTTGTAAAATAACCTGCCTAATCGGAAAACCTGCTGTGACTTTAACCTCGATTCTAACCTGGACATGAGTTGATAATTAGAATGATAACAAAAAAAGTTTACTTAAAAACCTTCAGTGAATAATGTTGATTTACATAAAACTCAAAAGTGATATAACTTGTAAAGTCATGTGCTGTCTCCTTCTTAATAATATAACCGTCATTAATTAATCTATAAATTCATATGTATGGTCTTCTATTATTAATTACGAAGAAACATGAATTATTAAGCTCTAGAAGCTCTTTTAGCTGCTCTAAGTTTCTGGACTTTTTTTTTCAGCAACAACAAGGCTACCATATCTCATGAAGTGATTAGATTAATTTTATATTCAGAATGATAACACAACCTAAGAAAGCAAGATGATTTGACAAACATATATTAATCCGTATATCTCGTCATATTTGCATTTATAGACTGATACATATCAAGATATATACTATTAAAACTGGTTAATGAAATACTTAAACTAACAAACATGAATGATTTTTGTATAATGAGTAGGAAAAATAGAACACAAATCAAAATTATAACTCATTGAGATTCCTTACTCAGATTAAATACTAGCATTTGAGTTAAGAAATTTAAAGCAATATATCGTCCAAGTATGAGCTTATCATACAAAGCAGTTGCAGATATAGTGAGTGTTACTATTTTTATCATCTGCATATTTGAGCATTTAATTGTATTCTTTAGGAGCATGGCACTGGCACAACACTAGAAAAAAAAGTAGAACTTACCCCTTTATTTTCACGTTCTTCATTACTCCGGAGAAGCACACTTTTATATGTTGCAATTTTTCTGTTAACTTCTTCCTCCATTGCACGAATATTAGTGCCAGCAAAGGACTCCGGGCATGCTAATGTCTGGTACCCCACTGTTAATTCAAAAGGAGGAAAAGTAACCCTAATTCAAAAGAAGTTTCCAGAAAATAAAAAGGTGATGCAAATTCTAGAAAATAAAAGAAGAAAGTCCTGAACTATTATCATGATGCTGCTTATATATGTCTTGCTTAATGGATTGTGTGTTATGCTTATGGTCTTATTTAGTGCTCCCTGTTGATATTGGTGGTCTGGTTTATATAGTTTTCAGCTTTCAATTGTTGCTTGGTTGGGACTTGTGATGAGTATGATAAATTTATGAGAGTGAGAATTAAAATTAAGTGCGAGGGAAAAGAGGGTTGGGTTTGGTTTTGCGAATGTTCTTTTCTTTTATTTGATTGAACATGATGTCGGCGTACTAGTATATACATGCTTTTTAAATCAGTTATGATAGTAAAAAATGTATTTTCTAGAAGTCACACTCACTCATGATGTGTAAACAAATACAATGTAAAGACAACAGTAGCGTTAGAATTCTTTGACTAAGAACTAATGGAAAGTACTAACACAAGTAAAATCAGTGAAAGAGTTTCAAAGTGTCTACAAAATACCAGAAAGTAAGGCACATTTTCACATTCACGTACACACTTACTTGGATGCGGAACCTTATGCAAAGCACCGAGCACAAGAAAGCTATTACTTGCACTGATAATGCCACTCCTGCTTTGAAGGTGATCGACCACAAGCTTGATCTCATGCTCATTGCGATCTTTAGTGGCATCACATGCAACCACGACGTAAGAAGGGAGAGGAATTTCCATGCTCATAGCAACCGAAACCCACAAAGTACTTATTTCAATTTCGATCCATATTCACAAAAACCTATGCTTCCAAAATCTTCGAAAACTTGAAATGTGCGTGCTTTTAAGTATAAACTGGATTTTAGAGGACATGGAGTGGAACACAGTGCAGAAAAGCACATAATAACATATTAATATGATAATTGAAGAAGATTGAGACTGAATGTCCAATGTGAAGACAGAAGGTTCCTTATCCGCTACCAGAATTGTTGCCATCTGCTACAAAAGTACTACTATTCTTTATTCTGTGTATTCATTGGATGAGGAGAAAAGCTTTCGAAGGTACCAAAGATAATATGCTTGAGGATATTCTAAGAAGACCGTTTTGGCGGGAAATCAGCCGGCAAAAGTTATGCCAAGTTGAGAAAGAGTACGAGAGAAGGTCCAAGACGAACAACCTGGTAAGTGTTTCTGGTACATGCTTCTTTTATATTCCAGATTCTATTCAACGCTCCCTCTCTTCAGTGTTCAGTAATAGTATATTGCTTTCTTGGTTTTCTACTTGTCATTGTTTTCCATCCATGTTCCAATCTGATTGGCAAGCAAATTGGTTCAAGACACTAATATCTGCTTAACAAGTAAGAGAAAAGGTAAAAAAAAAAAAAACATGACATTATCTTTTTCATACATTAATTTCTTCTTTTAAATAAAAAAATCATTGGTCAATTTCTAAAATGTATTTAGAATGAGAAATATAAGTGCAAAATGAAATCAACCAGATTGTATTAATAACAATATAAAAAAGTTCACATGCATCGTCCATAAAACTCCACTCATCCCAACATAAAAGTAGGTTTAACTAACACTGAAAAAAAGAAGGGAAAAACCAATATTTAGATATTTTTCTTAAAGAGAATTTTGTAGACACTTATTAAAAATAGTAATAATTAATTTATAAGATGATATATGTTATCTATATATTACTATTATATCTTTATTTAACATGAGATTTTAATATATCCTCATAATAATGGTTTAATAACAAATAATTATTTGAATTAAACTTCTCTTAATAATGGTTTAATAAAATTAATGATTTATTTGAATCATATTTATTATAATATTTCAATATTATTAGAGTCAGGTAACCTATTTATTAGATAAGATATATGCTATAATTGTATTTACTCCATGGTCTCGAAACTACCAAAGAAGAGGGACGAAGAAAAAACATGATTTACCCTCCAAATATGTGAATACAGACTAGGAAGAATATTATAATATAATAGTTATAGGTATATACAATCTATCTTATTAAGATTGACGATAATAACATTTTAGTCGCAAATTAAATAGATAAAAAATAATAAACAAGTTAATGTAATATAACTGCGTTAAATCTCACAAGGATATTATTATAGGAATGTACTCATTATTACACATTATTTTTTCTAAAAAAAGTAAATAGGAGGATTAATGAAAGAATGAATAAAATAAATTGATGCATAATAATAAAAATTAAAATGAAATTATAATAGAATAATAATGATAATCAAAATTAAATTAAAGTAAAATTTAAATAACTAAAATTTATAAAATTAAAATAAAGTGCTTTTAATTAAATTAAAAAATTGTCAAAATAAAGTGTAAAATAAAAAATTGTTTTAAAATAAAAGAGTGCAATAATTACATTTAAAATTTATAAAAGCGATAATTCTAAAACTAATTTGAGAATTGTAATTAGAATCGAGAGAGAAATTGAAAATGAAAATTAAGCAGATATTAGAAGAAAATAAAAATTCTAAACAATTAAATAGCAGAAATGAAAATGAGCACTGAATGAATAAAGTAATCAAAACAATATAAATTAAAAACTTCAATAGAAATTTTAAATTAAATAAAAAAAGAACAAACTGAAAGTACAAGTAACACTAGATAAACTCGTCTAACTAAAAACAGAGAACAAAAAAAATGGGAACTAGACAATACAATAGCTCACTCCGAGAGCAGGAAATTGTGATTATATTGTCATTAGACCTCTATTTATAGGGGATTAAACAAGAGAAATTAAATCTAAAATTAATTACAATAAAATTAAATGTTTTTTAAATAAAAAATTGCAAAATTGTAATGCTCTGACAAAAAATTCCTGGAACTGATTTTGAGAAAATAATCAATTTCTTTCCTATTTTGAGTAATCCAATATTGATTTGCATTTAATTATTGATTCTCACTAGCCTTCATTTCAGCTAAATTTGATTCCTCGCATCAGTTAATTTGGCATTTAACAAGCAAACTTAGGCTTTTTGAGAAGAATGATGCTCAGTTGCATCAATTTGGACATTTATTTTCATCAATTTGACCAATATTAAATTATCTTTCTCCTACAAAAGAAAAAAAAAGACATATGTATTGTGGATGTATAAATGTATATTATTTTTTTATGTTAAAACTATGCAAAATGCAATAAATTAAGAAAAATTGAATTATGCTATACTTTTAATAAAAACATGTTAAATGCATGTTTTTTCACGAAAATAATTAGCTTAAAAAATGTTTAGATCAAGAAATAAATAGTAAAATTATATATATCAAATACTCCCCACTTTTGCTCCTTTGCACTTCCAAATAAAAAATAGAAGAAAGAAAATAATGCATGCACGTAATGCAAAGATGAGTACTTTGCAAACGTTAGTTATATCTTGAAAATTACAATGGTCAAGAAAAAATTCATCAACCAAAAAGTGAGAGAATAAAGAAGATCAAGATCATAACTCACAATGTATTATCATGGTCAAGTACTCCTTAAGGGTTGCCGGACTCATTTCAAGGGAGCATCTTCTCGTGTTAAAGTGTTTACTTTAATCTCTCAAGTATTTATGCTGAAAAATTCACTCATCACCACATCATAACATCATCCTTTACCATAGAATTGAAAGATCTCTAAATTTTTACCATAAGAGAACATGCTTCAGTAAATCAATAGGACTTTAACTTGGCTTGTAATGGGGCTATGGTTCAGGGTAGGTTATTTTAGGAAAGTGGGCTAAAACTTTAGGAAAAATAAAGAACATGGATCAATGTACTTTGAATCTTTGTTCCAAAGCAAATGTACTTTAGGTTATTTTGTCACCTTTGTGTTAGAGTGTCTTTTGAGCTCCTTTATTGCTTTGACATATATAAACAAAATGATTTTTTTTCAATACTTTGATATTTCTCCTTTTTCTGAAATTGTTGGCGACGAGTAGAACTAGATTTTTGTAATGATTTCATGTTCCTTCCTTTCCTTTAAGTCTGGGTATGAGTAGGTTTTTAAGGGTTGGAAATACTTTAATTTTCGGGTTTAAATCCAAGAAAATGTTAAGACTCAAAGGTGGGTTCAAAAGATAATTTGAGGTAAAAGTAGGTTATTTGGCTAAGTAGTTAAAACAAAAAAGATCTAAATCATTTCTACTAATGTATAAGCTCGTCTGGTATTACAGAGAAATCAATCAAGTTGTGGAAGATTCTCATATCATGAGTGGTGCATACAAGAAGGAATAAGGTTTAAAACTCACCTGAGTGCTTTATTCACTCTAAAATTAGTTCAAACCAATGTTAATGTAAACAAACCATAACTTTTTATGTGAATCAAACCTTTTAAACTTTAAAATCTTCCTCCTGATCAAGTCGGATATCTTTTCCAAAGTAGTCTCCCATCAATCTACAACATTACACAATAGTTAAAACAAAAAATATGAATGAAACTTCATGCTTGAAATGCAAATACTCCTCACTTTTGAAATCAACATTATCCTCAATATGGAGAATTTTTATTATGCAAATGCAAATGAAAACAAGTTAAAATATCTTGGGTCCCGACTCTATCTCCTCATATGGTACAGGTGTCGAGGTTATCAAGTAGCAACTCGATTAAGCTAAAACAAATAAAGTGTTCTTCTGCAGTAATTTGGAAAGAGAAAATGTCACCTTGCTGAAGTCTCGAATAAATCTTTAGTAAAAACCCATCAATCTCTCAACCAATTGATCTATGAATGGAAGGGGAAAATGATTCTTCCGCACAATAGTTACCCCATTCTTTTATAAAATAAATTGGACAGTAGATATCCAAGTGTTATCTGAGAAGGTTGTTGTTGTGGTGTGTTTGCTGAACTTGCTTCAATAGTTGTCTGGGCTTCTACCAATGAGTCAATACTATCATTAATCTCCTTACAAATGATGCAACTTCCATTCATACATTCACATTCAGACAACTCCTCTTAGCTTAAGTTCAAAAATTGTAAGAGTTGATCAAGGTAAAAATTAACTCTAGTTCCAGCTTTTCCTTCCCTCAACTAAGTATACGCCCATTAAGAATAACTCTCCCTCACTAAGAAAGAAAAGATGTTTTAGTGTTCTTTTACTCTGTTTGAGCTTCTCGGTCACTTCTCAGGGTGATTGTGATAACAAAGAATTTCTGAAAACTAACTTTTATTGATTCTTTATTATACCTCAAATGAGGAATACAATGATCTATTTATATTATGTCAAAAACCTCTAATCATATCTTAAGAAAAAAAAACTCCCAATATCAAATAATAATCACCTAAGATATTATCAATATAAAAAAAAGTCAACAAACTCCTAATTATCCTTTTTATTTAATTTATCCTAATAAACTCTCAAACTAATTATTTTATTATTAATTTACCTAACAAAACTCCCCTGTAAAATTAATTCTCTTTGCAACAAACATTCCAAACTTGCCATCTTCAAACTTATAACCTCCCACTTAGCCGACTTGTCAATTTGTCAAACATCCTAGCTTTGAGCACCCAAGTTCTTTCATCATTCATCACAATCAGTCTCTTGTAGTTCTCGAATAATATAGTGGGCAATAACTTTGTGAAAATATCATCAACTTGTTCTCAGCTCGTCACATGTACGAGCCCCATATTCTCTTCCTTCACATGTTTTCGGAAGAAGTGAAAATGCACATCAATGTGCTTGCTCCTTTTATGATTGATCAAATTCTTTGTCAG